GGTTCGACATTGAATCGGATCGGGACGGGTGAACTCGGAATCGAATCGGATTGATCGAGTCGAAGTGGGCACGGGGGGGTGCCTCCGTCTAGGGGCGGTTCTTTCACCGCTGTTCGTGAGCCACCCCTTGATGATGGCAGCAAGCTCGCAGCCCGCTTCGATACACCTACCGAAACTGGCCGGATTGTTCCCGAGATTGACCTTTCCAATCCCAGACGTCCGAAGGATTGATCCCTAATAGTGTTTGAAACAAATCCCAGAACCCTTTCAGCGAATCGCTGAAAGGGTTCTGTTAGTGAAGGCCAGTCCACAAGAAACCTTCCACAAAAACTCAACCCTGAGACCACAGGAGGTCCATCGATGTTTGGTGTCGTCACGCTCTCCATATCGAAGCCCAAGAAACCCAGGGCAACCTGGAGGCAAGCAGGGTGTTTCTTGGCATGGGCCCCCCTGTTAGTGGCAACACACAGAAGAGTCCCACAAAGGGGGACGGGGAGCCCTAGACAGACCAGTCTGGCAGCCGCGTTGCCTGAGACATCCCCACAACTTACAGTCGGCCTTGCTTGGACAGGACACCCGAGAGGACACAATACCCTTCCGAGGGCCACATTGCCGTGGGGGATGTAGGAGGCATGGGTTGCGAGGCACGGGACACAAGGGTACCCTTGATTTGGCAGGGTCGACCTACTAGTCAGGGCCGACTGTTTGGAACGCCCGAAAAGGGTGCGGAAAGAATGGGTACAATGCCCAACAACAAATGTTGTCCCAAACCAACAGCGGCCGCTGTTGGGCAGGCAGCCTTCTGTCTCGAATGGACACAGGCCGCGGGGGCGCGGACAGCGAGTCCTGTTTCGTACCCATTCTTTCCGTACCCATTTCGGGCGTCCAAAGATTTGGCAGGGTCGACCTACTAATCAGGGCCGACTGTATGGCGGAAGCGCATTGTCGCCTCAATGCCGGCCACCTTGCTGGCCCGGATGGCCGCGAGCCCGCTCAACATGTGCGCTGAGGTGCACATGGCCGTGCCGCCGCCCCTGCCCCGCCTGTCGGCGCCCCCGGGGACCCCCGGGGGATGCCTAGGAATGCACGCTCTCGCTGGCCGACCTCCCGCTCCTCGACCCGCCTCTTCACATCTGCCTGCCGCTAGTTTCTTTCATCGGGGTGCTCTGCACGGATGTCTGTTTCAATCCAGGCAGTGCCTCTTCGATCTTGGCCTTCACGGGTCGCACTCGCGCCCAGAATCAAGAATAGCTCCGTGGTGGCAACTGGCCCCTGAAGACAGGGGTCGTCAAGACCAATTCGGCCCGCGGGTTGGAACAAAACACACGCCGTCGGATGTCTGCGCACACGCACCCGAAACAATCCCAATCGGGTACATCCTGGGCCCTGGATCGGTGCACTGGCCATCATGGCGTGTCTGGGAAGGCGAACGAACCAATCCTCTGCTCCAGAGAGGCCTGGCCAGGATCGGCGCTTGCGTACGGTTGGCGACCCCCGATCCTGGACGGAGAAAGAAGGCGGGAGAGGGGAGGGAGGATTGCGAAGGGTCGAGAGCAGGAGGAGAACGATACAAGTGCTTGGACATGGCTCTCCTCTTGGGGCGAGGCCCCCAAGGGCCTCCAGAGCCTCCGTGGAGCTCCAGAGACCTCTGGAGGCATCTGGGCAAGCATCAGATCTCCGACTACGTCGCTCAGGGTGCTGTCTTCACTATGGACAAGGCCATTCCTCAGTGTGTCGCAGGGGGCCCAACGTGCAGAAGTTGCCGCGCTAAGACAATGTTCTTGCCTGGTCTTGGTGCAGACAGACGTAACTCACGGACAGTGACTATTGTGTGCGGCAGTTCTCAGCTCTACTCCAAGGTCAGCGTATACAGCCACGACAACATCGCGACCTTTGGAATGCTACTGCAATCGGTGTCGAGATCAAGGGTGCCGAGAGCTTCACGATACAGAAGATCAAGTCGCACCGCAAGCAGAGTGATGTCCAAGATAGTGAGCTGCCCCTCTGGCAGCGCAACCATCAAGCAAGCAGATGCAGGAGCAGTGCATGCCGCTCGTCTGCATTCGTTACCACACCAAGTTCGACGGCAGCACCTCCAGGACCAGAAGCTATGCTACGCCATCCAGCTCAACGGTGCCATCATCCTTGAGCGACGTGCAGCAGCCTTACGTGAGATAGACTGGGACAAGCACAGTGAAAAATGTGAACAGGTACCAGCTTTTCTTGATGCCGGCAACGACGGTGTCGATCAGCACGTACCTGACGAAGATGACGATGACTCTTGGGCGCATCTGAATATGGATCAGCCTGGTGACGGCGAGGATGAGCTTCGGTTGGGCCCACCTTCGGGTACACCTGGTGTTAGAACGCAAGATCCTGGTGTGCCATCATGCCATTAGGGCTACCAGGTTCAGTCGCCACGGGCGTTAGAACGCAAAGTCCGGGTGTACCATCAGGGCGACCAGGCATCACGTCGCCACGAGTGCCCGACGGGGACCCAGACATGGCAGCTCCACAACTACCACCTACGACGGTGCTTGACACAAAGCCCTTACGCAGGTACCGCAGCAAGTCAGCACCACCACGACGACCACAGTCACACACGAGAGCTACAACCACGGCTACTACGACGAGCACCTCGAGCAGTTCACACCTACCAGTGGTCATGGACCCCTCGACGTGCAATCTACTAACATGGAGTCCCAAGATGGCCTTCCCTGGGTATCCTTGGGACCCAATCACGGAAGTTCACACCGAAGATCCCAGAGACCCTGGGCTACAACACTTGGAAGTATCAGGTGGCGCTTTTCTCGACTACGGTCTGGTATTTCTCGCAGCTGCGATGGGAAGCGGACACCTACGGCGCCACTTCCAGTTGCCTAGGCAGAGTTAGCTATCGACTTTACTATCTGCACAGGTCTGTCTCTTGTGTCGGCACAGGCGAATGCAGCGACGGCCACCCTTGAGCGCACGGCGAGATACCTCTTGACAGCAGCAGCTCGGATGGCCCTCCTATGTCGTTGCAGCTTGGCGCCAAGGCAGACACGATCATGTATTGGTACGCTGATGCCTCTTGGGATACGACGGGTCCCTGTTTTCATGTGCCGCCCTACATTTGTCAACCACGAGCACACCATGAGAGTTCTATACTAAGTGGCGTTGGCCACCACGGACAAGAATGCTGGTCTACGAGTCACCCCGCTCTGGGGCACTGTCCCTATACCTGTGTGGACGGTACCGAAGCTCACGGAGAATCTAAGCAAGACGGTACGCGAATCCGACCTCAGTATCTTAGCAGCACATGCGGCACAAGAAGTTGGGGCCGTCAAGAAGGTCCACAAAGTTTCAGCTATTGCCACAGCACGAGCAGCAGTACAATGGACAGCTACTGAATTACCTGACCTTGCTGGTATGACAGGCAAAGACCTCCTATTCGAACAAAAGCCTATCCGACATAACCATGAAACTGTGGCTGAGGGTTCTCATGTGCTTGGCCCTACTAGAGGGCCGGCGAAAAAAAAAGGAGACGTGCGAATTAAGTGTATACTATACAAAGAAAAAGCACAGTGCTGTGTTGGGCTCGATTACTTTGCGATCCTGAAAACACTGATGGGCAAAAGTTTGGCCCGCGACGTTCACTTGCTGATTGGACAGCTGATATTGATGCCCACAACGAGCGCACCAAGACGCCAGGGAATCGGTGTCATGTTCTACTTCCCTTTCGACCTGACGACGCAGGCAAAGAACTTCTGTGCTATATACGGACAGACTTCAATAAAGAAAGCGAGTGTATGGTGTTGCTCTAACATATGTAGCTAGCGCTGATAGTACGATGTTGTGGAGAGATTTGCTGGCAGATACTCTACTATGGAGTGCTGATCTACATTCACATATTTGTCCTCACTGCGGACGTGGGCCAAAGTGAAATACCCCAGTACAGACACGGAGGAACAGGAGAACGGTAAGGATGAAGAGGATAACGAGGATGCTTGTTAACGAAGCTGGAGTAGAAAGATGAAGCGGATAACGAGGATTGACTAGAAGAAAGAAGATGAGGAGAAAGAGGAGGGCTAGCGTCGAGCAAAACATTATATACACTTCTCGAGGTGTGTCTGTCATCTTTGCCCAGGGGTCATGTTGATACTCTCTCTGGCCGTTCCAGAGTTGATGGGTGGCCTCAGAGGAGAACCCAGGAGCAGGGGAGCAGGAGAGACGAGAGGAAGGAAAGGAGCAGCAGGGGCCATGCGGAGATGTGCAACGATGGCAACTGTCGGCTGCACGTAAGAGTGAACCTGGGTAAGAGTGACCTTTGGTGTGCGGCTTTTTGGGGGGTGCGAGGAGGCCAAACACAAGCGCGCAAGACGCTAATATCGCAACGAGCGCGGCGATCGGGGGACCCCAGTGAGCGCACACCAAAGGTCACTCCGACGAAGGGTCACTCTTACGTCTAGTCGAAACTGGCCCTGGTGGAAAACGTGCCCTGGCCCCCAGGGCCTTCCCGGGCACCGACTTCAATTGTCATCCCGAGTCATTTGCTTGAGCGTCCTGGGCCCTGGGGAGGGCCCGGGGAGAGCCCTGGGAGGCCTTGAGAACGAGACGGGGCTTATAGGAACCGCTCCCCTCAGGACCGACATAGTGCGTGCCGAGGCAAGGAAGACCGAGGCCCGATGTGGACGCCCGAAGTGGATACGGAAAACATGGGTAGTTGCCCAACGAGAAGTGTTGTCCGAAACCGAGAAAGGCCGCTGTTTGGCAGGCGGCCTTCTGCCTCAAATGGACAATGCCCGCGGCGACTCCGACAGCGAGCCCTGTTCGAAATGCACCAGACTCGCTGTCGTTCTTGGTGCCCGTTCTTTCCGTACCAGTTTCGATCGTCCCGAACCGAGGAGGAGAAGCCGCCGGGGGGGCCCGGCATGACAAGGCGGCGGATCCGCAGAACGAGCCCGCCCAGGACGCACCACCGCGCACGGCCAGGCATGGTGGTGCAGGATGGGGCCCGCCTGGAGCTGGATGCAGGCGGCGGGCGCCGCTGCGAGCAGCAGCGCCAGGAGCCCCGCGGGCATCGCCGAATGGAGGTGCGGTAGCAGATGGGCCAGGGTGGACAACAAGCCAGGAGCCATGTTTTGTACCATTCTCGATATCGCCCATGAGCGGATTCGAGCTGGCGCCGTCTAGGACTTAGCCATTATGACGCACTCCTGGACGGCGCCGGCGCGAGTCGTGACGTGACTGGCTCCCGCCCGCCCATCCTCCCTCCCCCCCGGTCACATTCGTTTGCGCCAGGGGATGAAAAGACGGTTTCCAAGCCAGGCCCGAGCTGGGTCTGATCGAGAGGTCGGGTCGGATCGGAAACGGATCGGATCGACAGCGAGTCTTCCCGAACCGGATCGAGATCGGATCGCCACGCCGGGCTCCAGCTGGCCCTGGCCGACGCTGGTGAACCGAATCCAATCGAACCCGATCCTGGGGGAGGCCACGCACCGCCAGGAAACATCCACACCCACAACTGGTTGAGTCCTGCCCTGGATGCCCCAGGGAGCGGTGGAATGTGGAAAACTGCCCGCCGTCACGGGGCGGGCAGACGTCCATACGGTGAGGGCATTGGATAAGGAACCCCTGGATAGGGAATCCAGGGTCTGAAGGCCAGTGGAACACCAACTACAGGCATCCAAATTTCGGGTCCGAGAAGATGAAGTCGGAGGATTGCACCGAATCGCCGATGCATCGGCGATGCATCGGCGATGCAGCGGCGACGTCGGCGTTGAGAAAATATATGAGAAAATCGGGCTCCACATCGGGCCGCATCGCCGATGTGTCGCCGCGGCGGCGCGATCCTCCGACCCCGTTCACTCGGAACCCATCTAGGAGGCCTAGACCAACTGAGGCTTGGCCCTGGATGTCGCCGCCGCCCTCGTCGGATAAGGAATCCTCCATGGTCGGCAGCATCCAGGGGCACTCCTTCGGCAACGCCCCGACCGTGCGTCCACCACTCCTCGAGAGGTGCGCGAGGCCCTGGGGCGCGCGGCTCCGAGGCGGCGGCCGTGGGCATCGCCCTGGCAGAGCAGCACAGGACGGCACTGGGATGGGAGCAATGCCATGACTTAAGTCGGGCGTGTCCCCCTACAGGGGGATTTTCGACGAAAAATAAAAAACATCAAAAAAATACTACAAAATTGTCACAACACGATACAAAAAATGGTCCCATACTATTTTTTGGACTATGTTTGAAGATTCCCCCTGTAGAGGGACAGGCCCGACTTAACCCATGACACAACTGGCCCTGGATAAGACCAGAAAGTTCGAAGCATCTTGCGGCCGTCGGATTTGGGGCCCGTGTGGAGCATTACGAAACCTTGGAAGTCCTGGAAGCCTTTGGAAATCTCGAAGCGCATCTTTGTCATGACGTCTTGCCAAGGAGATGAACTTTCGGAAGCCCGCGCGGGATTCGGGACCCCCTCCCCCCGCACCCTGGCGCGAGCCCCTGTAGCGCTCCAGGCTGGGGGAATACAATTGTGGACGCCATGACAACAAGGACACTCTAGCAATTCTATCATTCAGTTCAGAATGTGTTCATGTTCTCAACATATTTCAAACCTGCTTTTACATATTAAAACATGTTTGAAACATGTTTAGACATCTGGAAATTATGTGGCAGCATGCTTCCTCTCCATTAATCGACCTCCACAAGAACATTGCACTCCGCGAGACTTGGCGCAAGCTTGGCCGACGCGGCGCAGAAACAACTTGCAGTCATCTTCGCGGAAGGATGTCGGATTCAGGTGTGGGGGGCGGAGGCCCAGACCCGACGCAAGAGGTCCGCGCGGGGCCTTCGAAAGTGCACGATCATGATGTGCGATTTCTGGATTCGGCGGGCGGCCCGGCAAGCCCCCTGCACGCAGCTGGCTCGCCTGGCGCCTGGAGCGGCCACGCGTCGAGAGGTGTGCCCCGCGGCGTGGCCGAGACCCGCCGCATGCAGGAGACTTGCGGACCCCCCCTTTCCCAGGCCCCATCTGCCGTCCTCCCCGCACGACGGCGGCGCGTGCGCGCGCGGCGCGAAGCCGGGCGCTTCCCGCCGGCAGCGGGGCCGACCCCCGGGCCTCGCGCGGCGCGAAGCCAGGCGCTTCCCGCCGGCAGCGGGGCCGACCCTCGGGCCTCTTGGGCCGATCTGGTGCTGCTGCCGCCGCTGCCACCGCCGCTGCTGCTGCTGCTGCTGCTGCTGCTGCTGGCCTCGCAACCCGTCCGTTCCGCAACACTGCTCTGGCGCATTGCCTGGCTCAGGCCGTGCGCGACAGGAGCGATCATCAGAGAGTGAGCGGATTCATGCCCAAGCGAGTGGATCCCTGACGAGGCCAGAAGGGGAGAAAGAACGGAAAGAACAGCGTATCACTCCCCACCTAGCAGCGGGCCAGCACTCCTACTCCTGCGCCGACCCGAACTCCTGCCCCTTCCTTCACCCCGACGCCTTCGCCTATCCCCACTCCTGCGAAACATGCTGTAGTCAGCGTGGGCGGGATCTGGGGTGCTCACTTCGGGCTGCGCCCTCGCGCCCTTAGCCGCCAAGGGCGCAGCCCTGCTACCCTGCTCCACTGCGCCCTTGCCACAAATTGCGAAGCTCTGCTCCCTCGCTCCGCTGCGCCCTTGAAGCTAAGGGTGCAGCCCTGCTCGCTTGCGCCGCTGCGCCCTTGCAAAAAATTGCGAAGCTCTGCTCGCTGGCTCCGCTGCGTCCTTGCCGCTAAAGGTGCAGCTCTGCTCGCTTGCTCCCTTGCCCCCTTGCCGCTAGGGGGGCGCAGCCCTGGTCCCGTGCTCCCTTGCGCCCTTGCCGCGAAGGGCGCAGCCCTGCTCTCTTGCTCCCTTGCGTCTTTGGCCACCAGAGTGCGTAGCGACCCTCACGGCTCCTCCTCCTCCTCCTCCTCCTCCTCCTCCTCTTCCTCCTCCTCTTTCTCCTCCACATCCCGCTGACTCCTCCTCACTCCTCTTCCTCCCGCCACATCCTTCTCCTTACGTTCCTTTCTCGGCCGCGCACCTCCTCTTCTTCCTCCTCCTCCTCCTCCTCCTCCTCCTCCTGAGCCAGGCCTGGTCGCCTGCCCGCGCGGAGGGGGTCGTATTATCCTTACAGTGATGTTTCATGTTCGGATTCGTCTTACTGGTTATGACTATTATTCGTAATCGCATTCTTAGTAATAGTAGTACTACGCATAGTAATAAGCTTAATACAATTATTCGTACTAACAACATTGCTCTGCTTATGCATCAACTCATCAGTACTATTAATAGTATCGAGTGAAACGATAAGTATTAGTATTAGCCGTCTTAGTTTTGTCAGTATCATGAGTATCAGTATTTGTCTTGTAATAAGTAGTCATACGAGTGTGTGTTCATGGTACGAATTCAAATAGTATGAGTGTTACAGCTACTTTTATTCTTCTTATCATTAGTATTGGAAATATGATGTTTGATAAGATTACGAACATCATTTACTGGTCGGATTAGCACTTGTAAATAAATATTAATCTTCAAACTCCTCTCGTCCTTCTGGTCCTCCTTCTCCTCCTGCTCCTCCTCCTCCTCCTCCTCTCGCCGCAAGGCACGCTTGCAGCGAGCTCACGCGAACACTGCCGCGCAGGCCCTTTCCCCAAAGGCTTCCAGAACACCATCCGGCGCGGCCTCCCAGCATGGTGGCCAGACCGGGTGGTATCTGCCGACCTTCGCCAGAGGTGGATTCGCCTCAAAGCCCAGCTTGCGGTCGCTGCCCTGGGCACGTACTGGGCTGCCTTGCGCACCCTTGCCCGCGCTTGGCCCACGTCCGCATGCACGTGGGACACCCCCCGCCTTGGGTGCCGGTGGAGCTGCGAGGACGGCACGGACCACACCTCGCACAACATGCAGTGTCGCGGCGCCTGGTGGTGCGTATGCTGTGCTTCGCGCACCATCGCCCATGCATGCCGCATGCCCCCTGCAACGCCTGGGGCTTGGCTTGCTGGAGGATTACGCCCAGGACCCGCAGGGTGAGAACGGCCTTCCCTGGACGGTGGCGCGCCTCGCGACATTTTAACCACACGTACAACCTCATGCGGCACCGCCCCGGGCCGCTGCAACCAGGCCCAGAGGTGGCCGAGGCACTGGCGAGCGCTGCTGCCCACCGCGTCCAGGTGCCCCCGCTCCCCACGCGAGCCCTGCGCGAGCCGCCCGTGGCCCGCCTCTGGCTCGAGCTGCCTGGCACTCTCGCCCGACAGTCGACTCCCACACGCTCAAGCACTACGACTCCTGAATCCGCAGTGCGGCCAGCTGCCCCGCGCACGCGCGGGTAGGCGCTCAGGACGGAGGGTCTCGCGGGCGTTCCTCCACCTCTTCGTCCTCCTCCTCTTCCTCCTCCTCCTCCTCCTCCTCCTCCTCCTCCTCCTCCTCCTCCTCCTCCTCCTCCTCCTCCTCCTCCTACGGCTCATACGGCAGTCCTCCTCGCGTTCCTCCCCGCTGCGGCTCTTCCTCCTGCTTCTCCCTCCTCTCCCTGCTCCTGCTTCTGCTCCTGACCCTCCTCCTGCCACTGCTTCACTCCTCTCTCCGCCTTCTTGCTCCGCTCCTTCCCTGGCGGTGCTTTTGTTTACGGCTGCCGCGTGGGGGGTGCTGCGTGGGTCGGGCGGGGAGCGCCTAGCCAGGTGCCAAGAATCAGCGCCTGCACCGCGTTCGACACCGTGCATGTCTCGATGGCTGGAACAGTGTTACTTGTATCGGATACGTCTTCGGCGAACCACCGCTGCCCCCTGCCTTCGGAAGCGCGTGTGTGGTGTGATGTCGAGCGTGAGTGCGGCCACGCCACTGGACTGCCCGTCTTCACAGCCGTTGGGGAAACCACTGCGGGAACTCTGGGGAGGAGCCTTTCTGGGGCCGTATTGGAGCTCTTTTCGGGCCTTGTCTAGCCTTCTTGGGCGCCTCCTGAGGCTCTTGGGTCTTTCTCTTGGGTCGTTTCCGGGCGCTCTTGAGTTGGATGGTGCCTTCGGAGGCAGTCTTGAGGGCTCTGGGCCGTCTGAGGGATCTCCTCTGGTCCTTCAGGGTTGTCTTGGGGCCGTCTTGGCCGTCTTGGGTCCGTCTTGGGGCTGCCCTGGAGTCATCTTGAGGCCCAGGGGGCCGTCGGGGGTCCGCCTTTGAGGCTTCTTGGGCCGTCTTGGACATTCCGAAGACCAAGAAAACGATGATCTGACACATGTTCGAAATTCGAACGGAGCATCAATCATTTTGACCTCCGGGGCCCCTTGTGGAGGTCATCTTGGAGCCCTCGTGGGCTGTTTTGGAGGCTTCTTGGACGTCTTGAGGCCGTGCCGTCTCCAGGCACCCGTGGGCTGACCAGTGGGGCCGTGGCCTCCCGAAGCTGCCCAACGGTCCGCAGGGGGACGGGGACCTGGGCCTCCGACGCCGTCCGCGTGCGCGTGATCCGCAGTCGCTGCCGGGCAGCTTCCGCCGTGCGCTCTTCCCTTTGGACGCCCGAAGTGGGTACGGAAAGAGTGGGCACAATGCCCAACGACACATGCTGTCCCAAACCAACAGCGGCCGCTGTTGGGCAGGCGGCCTTCTGTCTCAAGTGGACACAGGCCGCGGCGGCGTGGACAGCGAGTCCTGTTCAAAATGAACCAGATCCGCTGTTGGGCATTGTACCCATTCTTTCCGTGCCCATTTCGTTCGTGCAGATTCCCTGACCGCCCTCCCTGACCGCCCTCCCTTGCCTGCCCGTTCGCCTCGTCGCGCTTGCAGCCTGCGGCCCTCGGCCCTCTCTCCCTCCCTCTCTCTCCGCCGCTGCCGGCTGCGATGGCCTGGTATGAGGAACTTGGTCGCAAGCCGGACGGTCGCTGGCATCGAACACTGGGAACGACTTGGGACACTCGCTAACACGCCCACAAAGCAGATCCGCAACCGATGGACCGAGCAGACGACTGGACCATACACATTCGACGTACGCTTAATGTGTCAAATCATCCCCCGCCCAAGGTCCATTGGAACCATTGGATGATGAGCCCAAGGTCTGGAATCCGGTGGAACTCCAATCGTTTGCCCTGCGGGCGCCCCCCTCCCCCGATTGTCATTTACTGCTAATTGGTGCCGCGCGTGTGTGTGTGTGTGTGTGGGTGTGAATCTGCACGTGCGTGGCCGCCAGACCTCGCGACCACCTGCCGGGGACATGTTGTTTCGTCCCGGGCCGTGCTGTCCCAGGAACTGGAGACGGCACCAGACAGCCCCCGGAGGCCGAAAGCGGCGGACATCACACCAGGAAGCTATAAACGCGCACGGCTAAACTGGCGTGCAGGGCATGCCAGGGCACGCGCGCTGGACCCACAGGCTGAGTGCCAGAGCACGCAGCCACGACCGGGCCGAGCGCTGGAAGACATGCCACAGCACGCGTGTCCAGCCCTCGCCCAGGCCAGCCACGGCACGTGCACCCAGCTTCCGGGCACCAGAGGCCTGCCAAGCCACTGGACAGCCTCGGCCCTGCCTGCGCGCGCTGCTGCCCGCCGCCTCCAGGTAGAAGAGCTTCATGTCGACGCGGTACTGCCGGTGGCCCTGGGCCAGGGCGCGGGCCGCACGCATGCCAGCAGGGGTCAGCGGCGAAGAGAAGGGGGGCCCCGCGCACGAGGACGCAGCGACCTTGCGCGGTGGCCTGCGCGGGGCGCCAGCACGGCACACCGCGCGGAGACGGGTTCGCTTAAGCGCACTCCTTCGCGGGCTCGCGGGCAGCCTACAGTCGACCCCGTTACAGGTCGACACAGACAAGAGGAAATCTTGCTATGAGACATACTGGAGCACATGATCCGTCGATCGTTGAGAGCCCTGGGTGCCCCAGAACTTCTTTGGGTCCCTGGAGCCATCGGGGGATGTGGAATTCCCATGGGGAACCTACTCGCAGGCCGACGTATCATGTGATGTGCCAACTGCAGTCTAAAGATCGACGAGGTGCCAAAACACACCCCACGAGAGAGAGAGAGAGACACACACACACACACACACAGACACAAAGAGAGATCGGGCCCCGAGCAGGGGAATCCCGCAGGCACCGGGCGGTAGGCCCGTCGTCCCTGCACAGGGCATCGAAGGTCTGCTGAGAGCTCCCAATGGATCCCGACCGTCGCACGGAGAGCAAGAACTCTCGCACCTGGGCCGGACTGGTGCGCGACCGCGGGCTGGGCGGGAGAGGCGGGGGCACGCAAGGTCCGGAAGAGTGCAGCAGAGCAGGGAGGCAGGAAGCGAGGGAGGGCGGAGGTGGAGCGAGTGGGCGGGGGACGGGTGGGCTGGCTGGGGTGGGGTGGTGGGCGGGTGGGGCGGGGCGGCGGGGCGTTGAGGCGGTGGGGTGGGACCGTGGATGCGGACGAGTGGGGGGGTGTGACGGAGGTGGTTGGGGATGCGCGGGGGTTGGGAGAATCGGTGGGCGGGTGCGCGTGGATGATTTTGTGTGTGGGTGGTTTCGCCGACGCCGGCTGTTCACAGCATCCGCCCCCGTCCAAGTGTATGTACCCCTACCCGCTCTTGCGGGTGGGGGCTGCCTGTGAGTGGCCACCCGTTCGGGGGTCTCTGTGTCGGGTCTCGCCCCTCCTTGCGCACCCGCCACACCCCTGGCCCTCCGCCTCTCCTCTGTTTTGTTTCGTCTCTGGCCTTGGCGCTGATTTTCGTAAAGCATGGGCAGCGCCGCGAGCAGCGAGCCGGTCCTCAGGCTGGCACGCTGCGTGCTGACACGGTTGCTGCAGTGCGATTTCGGGGGCTTGGCCAGTGGCCTCTCGCCACCCCCTTCTGTCGTGCCTGCCTGGACTGCGCTGGCTCGGCCTTTCGCACGCTTTACGCCGCCAGCGACGTCCGGCTTGCACTCTCTGCACTCCCACTGCACGGCTCCTTCTGTCGACCCCTGCATACCTACCAGCCCAGTGGCTCTGCCTTTGCTCCTGCACCTTGCGTGACCGCCCGCCGGCATCTTCCGCGTGCACCCGCGCGTCGCGACTTTGCTGCACGCGACTGCCCCGTCCAACTCATTCAGCGTGCCCCGTCTCAGTTCCCGCGGCGGTGCCGCTACTCCACCGCTCGAGGAACAAGACAAAGAATGGGGCGCCGCACTACCGCCGCCTCCCCGAGGCGTAGCGCCCGCACCTCCGCGCCGAGCGGCTCCGCGAGGCGCGGCACCGCCGCCTCCACGATGAGCGACGTCTGCCCCTCAACGCCGAGCGGCCCCACGAAGCGCCGCACAGTCGCCTCCTCGATGGGCAACGCTCGCACAACACCTCTGCGCCGATCCGCACTGGCGCCTCAACAATAAGCGGCGCCAATGCACCCGCACCGATCGGCCCCAGCACGAAAATCGTCGCAGGCGCTTCACCGTCGAGGCCAGAGGGCAGCGGCACTACGCCGCCGCGGCTCAATCGGCTCATTGGAGGTGGGAGTCGCGCCCGCAAGGCATCCACACTGCGGAGCCCTCGTATGGCACTCGCCGCCGCCTCGCAGAGGCGCAGCCCATACTGATGACCGGCGACGCAGCCGTCGGCGACGATGTCGATGCCGCGGTCCGTGCGGCTGTCAGTGCTGCGATCGGCACAGCTACTGGCGCGCAGCTGTCTGGACGGCTGCCGGCGCCGCGGAAGGCGCGGCTGTCGCGGGCTCGGCGACATAGGCGGCGCAGCCGGTCCTGAGGGCGATGCTGCGGCCGCCGATGCTGCCGGCAGTCCAAACCATGTGCCGGCGGGGACTCCCCGCCGGCACATGGGGATTGAGGCTTCGGCAGAGGACTCCCCGCCGGCGGGGAGTCCCCAGCCTCAATCCTCCCCGCCGGGGAGGATTGAGGCTTCGGCAGAGGGCCCCCCACGGCAAAAGCGACGAGCGGCGCGAGTCGCGACCTCCCGGGAGGCGGCACCCCACGCGGGACGCGGGCTGGCACACCGCGAGCCAGCGCCCCACAAGCGCAGGCGCTTGACGGCTGCAGCCCCGCCCCTCGATGGACGCCCTTGGCTATCATCACAGCCATAAGCAGCAACACCACCAGCACCCACCACCACCACCACCACCACCACCACCACATCATCATCATCTCATCATCATCATCATCATCATCATCATCATCATCATCATCATCATCAGCATCAGCATC